ATATATATATATATATATATATATATATATATATATATATATATATATATATATATATATATATTTGGCGGTCGGTTTGGTCCAAACCACCCAAAAAATATTCCATACCGCAGACCGGACCGGACCGGACCACCCGGTTTTGCTATTTTGCTATTTTTCAAACCAAACCAAACCGTCAGACCGCTCAAACAGCCAAAAACGGTCCGGTTTAACTTGGTTCGACCGGTTTGAACGTCTAACGGTTTTTTTTGAACACCCTAATTTAGTATGATGCCAATTTTTAGTCCTATAAATTTAAAGTCATATTAAGTAACCTATTACAAAACATGTACGTCTTTAGAAGTCAATTTTATTATAATATATAGAAAAAATATCAAGAAACCCAATGAAGTATTAGGTTACATGGGGTTGTCAAAGTCTACTTGTGCAAATTTTCTAAACTTCAATTCAATGTATAATGGAAAATAACACTACCAATTGGTGTAGCTTTTCTCAATGCAATTGGTTGAGGTTTAAGTCTTTGTGGTCTTCAACAATGAGTCTTTTCAACCAATTCATTTCTTCTCAATTGGTATAATTAAGCAACTTAATGATTTAAGTCTAGCTCCATATTCGGTTTTCAATCAAAGACTTGCACGGTAACCAATCAAAGACAGGTCCGTTTCTGACATTTTTTAGGCCCTGGACGATTTGTGAATTTTGGACCCTCTATATGTATAAAAAAAAATCTTAAATAAATGTTTTTAATCATTAAAAAACAAACTTTCATACAATAATACTAATAATTTATACAAAACAACTTCTTCGAGTATTTCGGATACAAAATCATCAATAATAGCATCTAATTCATACAAAACAACTTCTTCAAGCATTTTTGGATACAAAATCATCAATAATAGCATCTAAATCAATATTATCAAGCATGTCTTTTTCAATGTACAATATTGCCAATCCATTCAATCTTTCTTGTGACATTGATGACATCAAGTACGTCTTCAATAACTTCAATTTTGAAAAACTCCTTTCTGCAGATGCTACGGTTACAGGTACTGTCAACATAATTCGATAAGCAACCGAAACATTAGGGTAACAATCTACAACTTTGACAAACTCAAGAATTTCAACTGTCGTCATTGATTTGTTTGGCAAAGTCACCTGCAACACCTTTAACTCAGAATAAAGATCATTTACATCCACATCCGCCATAATATTATGATAAAATGTATCACTAAAATGAACACAAGATCTCATCAATTCATTTTCATCCAATGACTTTAGTTTATCAGAATCGAATAGGAATCCAAAACTACTTTCAAATTTCTTTAATTGTTCAAATCTATTATTCAATGAAGAAATTGCCATGTCCACAATGGTTAGAAAATAATTAACTCTAAAAGCTTCTTCTTCCGATGCTTGCATTTCTTCTTCACAGTTATTTTCATCAAATTGTTTTTCCTAATAATACGACGCTTAATTAAAAATGTAGGATCTATATTCATTTCACATGCTATTGTTTTAGCAGTATCCATACTTGATGCAAACCCTTCATTCCTATACTTTTCAAAATACTTCACTACACCTTCAAATTGTTCCATGGTAGCATTAATGCACATAGATTTTAATTGCAACCTTTTACTAACCATGTTTATTGCAAATAAAACATCATACCAAACAATCATACCAAGTAAAAACTCAAAATTTTCAATTGCACTTACCAAACTTTCCACTTCACTTTTCGTCTTGGCATCATCACATGATTTGCATAATTCAAGCAAAGCCGATCTTATTTGAGGAGCTTGAAATCTAATTGCCTTAACACTTTTTATTCTACTTTCCCAACGTGTGCTGCACAAATTTTTTACAGTTAAGTTTGACGCTTTATCAAGTAACACATTCCACCTTTTTGCAGAACTAGCAAATAATGTGTATATGCATTGAACAATTCCAAAAAATGAAACAGCTTTAACACAAGAATGAGCCATATCACTAAGAGTAAGATTTAAGGCTATGACAAGCACATGACATATATAACGCTTTTGGATTAACTTCAAGTAATCGATTTTGTACCCCTTGGTGTTTTCCCTTCATGTTAGAACCATTATCATAACCTTGACCCCTCACATCATCAACATTAAGATCGAGAGATTTAAGTACATCTAATAATTCATTGAACAACCCTAAACCAGATGTATCATCAACCTTTAAAAACTCTATAAAATACTCCTCTACTTTTATTTTATCACTGAACATATTCACGCATTGTATGATTAAACTCATTTGCTCTTGATGGCTCACATCCGGTGTACAATCAAGAATTACAGAAAAATATTTAGCATCTCTAATAATTTTCATGATAGAACTTTTAACATTATGAGCCAAAAGAGAAATTAACTCATTTTGAATTCTAGGGCCAAGATAATGATAATGAACTTCATGATTTTGAATGCCTCTAATATGATCTTGAATTATCACATCAAATTCTCCAATCATTTCAATTAACCCCAAAAAATTACCATTGCTACGTTGATACAACTTCTCATTTGATCATCTAAAAGGCAAAGAATACTTAACAAGACACTTCATAATGGCAATTATTCTTACTGAAACTTGCCTCCAACGTTCTTTTTCTTTTAAAATCTCTTGTTGCAAGTCTTTATCGATTGTTTGGTTTGTTTTCAATCTTACTCTTAGTTCATTCCAAGATAACATGTTATTCATATGTTCAATACTATTCTCATGTTCTTTAAGTCTCTCACCAAGATGCTTCCAATATCTAAATCATTCATTAGCTATTGCATTTCTATAATTCTTAGACTTGTACAACTTACAACAAAAACAATACACTTTATCCTCATATTTTGAATAAAGTAACCATTTTCGATCACTAGTTTCACCATTGCTTAACTTTCTATCATAATAAGCATATGAAAAATGTCTAGACATGTTATCTAAAGGAAACACGATACCTAATTCTCTAATGGGTCCTTTTTCAACTAGGATGTCTCTTGATTTAGTATCAAGATTACCCCAATTTCTTGGATCACGAATATCAAAAAACGGAATTGATTGTTCATCAACGGATAAATTTTCAATATTATTGGGGACCTCATGTTCACTCACACCATCAATCTTTTCATTATCTTCACTCATATTTGGATGTTCAACATTTTGTTCATTGAGTCATCTAACTCTTGATTAGAAGAACCTACGGTTTTTACAAACTTATATGTGGCTCCTTTTTGTGATTGTTTCAATTGTTCAACTAACTTCCTTTTTTTCCTTTTCTCACTTCCAGATAAGTATTTATCCTTTTTATGCAACATGATCAATATTTAACACATACAACAATTCAACAAAGTCAATATAAAGATGAACAAAGGCACCTGAGTGGTTGAGTGGTTGAATCTGAGTTTGAATTATGGAATACTGAAGAATGAAGAAGTCAATTTCTTTTTTCAATAAATTGTAGTCTGCCATTTAAAAAGGTTGAAACACAATTAGTAAGCAAATAAGTCAATCATGTACTATGTTATTATGTATATAAATTACACCAAATTTGCATTTGCATTTACATTACAGGTTGTATGACTTCACACAGAGTTTCAAGAAGTTAATAACATGGCCCTAAATAATGAATAAGTTATCTAACTAATGCCCAAATTTAATGATTCAATAGTTCACTTATAGCTTCCCTAAGCAGTGAATCAGTGATCTAATTCTAACTAATGCCTAAATATAAAAGTTCTTGGCAGAACTGTTGGATGGCCCTGTTCAAAATACAAAATGTATGCAGAAACAAAAAGTTGGAATTGGATTGTAAAATGACTCATTTCAAGAAGTTAATAACATGGCCCTAAACCCAAAAAGCTGGAATACAAAATGTACGATGGATAAGATTTTATACAAGAAATTGAACAACAAATATAAATAATGACGAACTTGATCAACAAAAATAGAAATTGTACACATATATATATAAAAAATAGATACCTTTTTGTTGTTGCCCTAAACCCACCACTTGATTGATGATGAACTTGAACAACAATTGAAATAAATCTTGAATCTTGAACTCGAAATCAGAACAGAACTGTGAGAATTGAGAAACAGTGAACCCAAAATCATAACAAATTAACAATTATTAGTAACACATTAAACATAGAAGCTGGAATTTAACCTTAAATCGGCGACGCATAGGAAACTTCATTCTGCAATCGCCCGTTGAGCCGCTTGCCGTTGCCGAGTTACCGTTGGATTGTTGGAATCGAATCGCTCGGAGATGAACCGTCGGCTTGTCGCTCTCGCTCTCGACTCTCATTCTCGATTATCGCTCTCAATCATTCGTTCTCGACTTCTCTGTTATTGCTAGGGGTGAGCAGCGGAACCGGGTACTAGGCTACGGAACCGGAACCGGAACCGATATGAGTGGTTCCGGTTCCAGTTCCTAAAATACGGAACCGATTGAGAATGGTTACGGTTCCGATTCTCAATTTTTCGGAACCGTTACCCGTCGGGTATCCAGTATTTTTCAATAAAAAATAATTATTATTTTTTAATACCAAATTTATATTAAGTTTACATCTTGAAAACACACCATTATCTTCATTCTTCATCTAAATTCTTCATATAAAATGATTCATATTTTTTCAAATTGTGTGTCACTTGGATTCATAGTATGCAATCGTTAAACTTTGAACATTTACAATTATAGTATGTAATCGTTAAACTTTGAACATTTTMTATTAGTCTATTATGGTTTGTAATCGTTAAACAATATTTGTAACCATTATTCTGTATAATTTGTATTCTTGCTTATTTATTTAGTGTTTTGGCAATGTTTTATTTTTTATTTCTAAATAATAAAATTTTAATATTTTAGGAAACGGGTACCCGGGAAGCGGTTCCGGTTCCGGTTCCAAAAATTTGAGAACCGCTCTAACTAGGGGTGCTCAAAAACCCGATGAACCCGATCAACCCAACCCGATTTAAAAAAAAAACCTAGCCCGAGGTAACCCGAAGGTTGATTGATTAAAAAATAAAGTAACCCGACTCTATTGGGTTTAAATCGGTTTAGGCCCAATGAAAACCGACCCAACCCGATGACCCGATGGGAAGCAACAAAACACACGGGAAACCTCTTGTTTAACCTAAAGGCTCTGCTCCTTCCTAAACTCAAATCAAACACAAACACAATACACTGAATCCCTAATACAGTCGAGTAGCAGCGGCCAGCGGATCGATTGATAGCCTTTGGCGCCTCGGTGGTTCGGCCAGCAAGCGAGACTGCGAGAGGCCGAGAGCAACACACTCGAGTAGCAGCGGCCAAGAAGCGAGTTGTGTGTGTGAGTTGCGATACATCRACACAGCCTTGCGAGTTRCGACACAGCCTTCGAGTTCGATACATCGATTTACATCCTTGAGCGGTTGAGCCATCCTTCGATTTACACAGATAAGGTAACACAACGAATGGGGAACCCTCTTGTTTAACCTAGATGCTCTGCTGTCTGCTCCTTGCCTCCTTCCTAAACTTAAATCAAACACAAGCGAGAGTGCGAGACTGCGAGAGGCCGAGATCGATTGACAGCCTTCGGCGGTTCTGTCAGCAAGCGAGAGTGCGAGACTGCGAGAGGCCGAGATCGATTGACAGCCGAGATCGATTGACAGCAATTGTGTGTGTGAGTTGCGACTTGCGACACAGCCTTGCGATTTACACAGATAAGGTAACACAACACAACTTTCGATTTACACAGCTTTCTTATCGATTTACACAGCTTTACATACCTTCGATTTACTGTTAGACGGCTTTCATGTGTTTTCAAGTTTGAATTTGTTCATTTGGAATATGAGTTCTTCTACTTACCGCAAGCACTAGGCTCGTCATTCCTTAATTATCAACATTATGTGTTTGAAATGGATCAATCTCAATCTCTAGAGCCTGAACTGTTTAAAGTGATATTAGGAGTGTTTTATTCTAGCACAATTATTGGAACAAATGTATATGTTACAACCTACACCTTGATTATCCCTTCCTCCAGAATGTTGTGCTTTTGCCCAAAGCAAACTCTAATGCCAATTTAGAGGAGGTTTTATCTTTGGTTTCTTCTAATTCTAGTTTTGTTGAAAAAGTAAGTAATAAACAATTGACCTTTGTAATTATCCATCATGAGTAATCAGTGTACATATTGACTACACTTGCTCTCTCTCAATTAGCTACTAGCTAAAGAAGCTGCTGAAGGAATTTCTATTTTTGATGAGCTTCAAGGCACTTTATCAACTCAGCAAGGAGAGATGGCATATTTTGCTAGAGAGCTTCGGCAGGTCAGTGACTTTATTTTATGTCATCCTTTGATGAAGATATCTTAAAATCTAAAGGATCTGACATTGTTGACCAGCTTTCTTGTGTTTGATCAGATAAAAGGTCTACTTTTTAAATGATGATCTTTTAAACCTCCTATTAATGTCTACTTGGTAGGGGTGATCAAAAACCCGATGAACCCGATCAACCCGAACGGGTTGGGTTGGGTTGGGTTGAACTTTTGTTTTGGTTGGGTTGGGTTGAAAATTTTCAAACCGCCAACATTGGGTTGGGTTGTTAAAACGACTCCAAACCGATCAACCCGGGCCGTGAGCACCCCTAGCTCTAACCGGTTCCGGTTCCGGTTCCAATATCTCAAGAACCGCCGGTTCTGGTTCCGGTTCCCGTTCCTGTCAAAAAGGGCGGGTACCCGCCTATGCTCACCCCTAGTTATTGCTCTAGACTAGTCGGTCGATTGATCTGGATCTAGAGTAAGATTGATGGATAGAGATATGTATTGGGCCCCTTTATTTTGTAAATCTTAGGCCTCTTATTTTATAAAATTTGGGCTCCTTAATTATTTCTTATAAATTTTTTAAACCCAATAATATATATATATATAAAAAAATTGGGCCCTTAAACTTTTTGGGCCCTAGGCAATGCCCAGCCCGCCCTCCCTCCCCCAGGGAAGGCCCTAATTCAAGATGACTTCGATTAAGCTAAAGACATGAAATAAGTCATGTATTCTTGAGTAATACATGAACACCCAAATGATAAAGAGTTAATGACTCAGAGTACTTACCACTTTATTACCTATCGCTAAAGCTCAACGTCTTAAGAGATCAAAGCCTCAAAAGATTTCCAATTGGGGTTTTAAATTGTTAGTTGGAACTTTGATACTCAAAAAGGGTATGGGTGGTTATTGGACCATCTCAAGTGGATAGAATTTGACCGAAAGGGATAAATACTGTTTTCATAACGTTATCATTCTGAACCAGACCAGATTGTTGGACCTTATTTCGCACCAAATTATTACGAGTCAGGCGGACCGGATAAAGACTATACCCAGTCTTTTTCTTGGACTAGACGAAGTTGGTACTCCAGACCCAGATAAAAACTGGTTCGGTTTTCTTATTCATTTTCTAAAATCCGTTAATTTTTCCTCTTTTCTCTTTTTTATATGGACCATACAACCTTTAGATTTTTTATAAATCACGCCAATCTTGAACCAAGTCAAACCGTTAGTCCAAATTTGGTCTTTATTTTACGAGATCTGGACCAATCTGGTTTCTTTTTCAAGACGTTGTTGACCAATGATAACACCGTACTTTTTTCTGCAATGGGTCGTGTGCTAGACTCTAGCAAAGGGCTACACAATTCCTACATCCAACAACCATATTTTCGTATGTATTTTTTGGTAAGATGAAATAGAATAAATTTGGTCCAAATATGGAACTTACTTAGGGACCGTTTACCTAAACACTTATCCGATAAGCGCTTATCGGTAATATTCAACATTATCATTTACTTACCGGGTAAGATTTGAGTTTACCAAAACAACATTGTATGTAATAATTTACCCGGTAAGCGCTAACCGTGGTAAGAGTCGTCGCAATCACTTACCAAATAAGACTCTCGGTCCTTGTTTTCGTTCTTACCGGGTAAGATTCTTGGTCTTTGACATAGTTATCCGGTAAGGTAATGTAACTTGGTAAGCACTTACCCCGATAAGCATTTGGTAAACAGCCCTTTAGGCTATATTTTTTCTATTTTTGTTGCTTATTTGGGCCAAAATTACATTTCCAATAGGTCTAATAAGGGGTCGTTTAGTCATATATCAAACGCTTATCAGGTAACC